ATTGTGGACCTGGTCTCACCCTCCTCTGTATATATACACCTTGATTTGTATTTCTCTCTCTAGTCTGTACTCACCCCTGAAGATGTGAATTACACGAAAGCGCTTGGGAACTTCGTGTTTTCTTCTTTCCTTGTGGTTATCAGCATATATATATATATATATATATATATATATATATATATATATATATATATATATATATATATATATATATATATATATATATATATATATATATATATATATATACACAATATATATATATATATACATATATATATACAACAAAATATATGTACAAAAAATAAATGTTAAATGAATTATTTATGGTGCATTAGGGTACTGGTCACTTCAGACACAAAGACGGGCTATAAATAGCCTTCTTTATCTCCCCTCCATCTCACCCTGAGCCAGAGGGAAGGGTGGTGGTAAATAACATTTGTTTGCTTATTTTCCATTTACTTGAAATAGATTTACCGAATTATTTGTTTATTTATTTAAAAGTCATTTACTGAATATTCTATGTAAAAAATAAATTTTAAATTAATTACACCGGTCAACACAATTTTTCTGGCACAAGGTTTTTAAACGGATTTTAAGTAAATTTGGGGTCCAGAATCCAAATATGACTTTGGTTTTTGTCTATCACATCAGGTTTTTGAGATATACCATATTGCACTTTTGCTGGGAAACGTAAACTTTTGGATCAAAATTGACGGTTTAAACATGTATACATAAATTTTTTCAGCATTATAATTTGTATTTTTCTATAACCAAAAATTGTTAATATCAAATTGGAAAGTTAATGCACATATAATATTCAAATGTAACATTGAAGGGTGAAAAAAAAAAATTAATGTACGGTAGAAATAGTGCAAGTATTAAGATCAAGTTACAGTTATATAAACTTCCTCTTTTTGGCCGATCTCTTATGTACAGCTTCTGGAATGTCTCTCATCAAACTCCAGCAGTAGTCCGCCATCATGTTCGAGTCCCATCGACCTTGGTAACGTTCTTCCATTACTTTAATGTCTTGATGAAAGCGCTCCCCTTGCTCCTCGCTCACTTCTCCCAGATTTTCTGGAAACTCGTCCAAGTGACTGTGTAAGTAGTGAACCTTGATACTCATTCTGCATCCAAGTGCTTGTAAACTTAAGAGCAGCTCTTCCACAATTTCTTGATAGTTGTCCGCTTTCTTGTTCCCTAAGAAGTTCCGCACCACATTAGAGAAAGCATTACAAGTTCTTGCCTGTGCCTCAGTCATTGTTGCAAGGAAGTGTGGGTCTCTGAGTAGTGTTCTTATTTGAGGTCCATCAAAAATCCCTGCCTTTTTCTTCTCGTCGCTAAGACTTGGAAAGGTTGAGCATATATATCTGAAACACTCTCCACTATGATCAAGAGCCTTGATGAATTGCTTCATGATACCAAGTTTTATGTGCAGAGGAGGAAGGACAATGTTTTTCCTGTCAACCAGAGGATCGTTAATGATATTCTTGTCACCAGGCGTCAAACTATGTCTTGGTGGCCAATTCTTTTTCACCCAATGGTCTGCTGTAGCCCTGCTGTCCCAGTAGCACAGAAAACAGGGGTATTTTGTGTACCCTCCTTGCTGGCCCAATAGAAAGTTTACCATTTTCAAGTCCACACAAATTAACCATTCATGAGCATTGTATTGCAACCTCTCTAGAACAGTCTTAATGTTTTCATACTCTTCTTTAATTTGTACAGAATGTCCGATTGGAATTGAACCATACTTGTTTCCGTTATGAAGAAGAACACATTTCAAGCTCCTTTTAGAACTGTCAATAAAAAGTCTCCAATCCTTACTATCATATGCTGGTAGTCCCATGGAGAGAAGAAGTCCTTCTACATCATTACAAAAAACAAGCTGGTCATATGAATGAAAGTACTTCCGCAGTTGCTCTTCTCTGTTGCGATAAAAGGAGACACTCGTGCCAGGTTTTAAGAGTCGTTTCTCTTGAAGCCTGGAAGCTAACAATTCAGCAGACTGTTTTGGCAAATTTAGATCTCTGACCAGATCATTCAATTCTGACTGAGTAAACAACGTTGGCTTTTCACAATCTTCACCATATGGCTTGAAAAGATCAGTCTCTTCATCTTCATCAGTAGAAACAGGTGAATTCCGGTCTATATCCTCAATCTCTGGTAGCTCAGTAAATTCTGGCACGTTACGTGATGGAGCAAATCTGAGATCAGATTTGGATTCAGCACCTTAAAGTTAGTAAAAAACAGTTAAAAGGTTTCATGCCAGAAAAAAAAATATTTTTTTTGTAGACCAGTGTTATTTATAGGAGATAAGTATTATGATCAGTAAATATATGGTATTACTGGCCACTTCAGACACAAAGATGGGATAAAAATAGCCCATCTCCCCCTCTTCTTACAGCTGCCAATGGGAAGCGTCTTGGTAATTAAATTTGATGTTTATTTTCATTGTTTGTCTAATTTATCATGTATCAAAGTAATATTACTAAAAATTTTGTAGGTAGTAGGCAGCTACCAAACAGGGAGGTACTACCGCCTGGGAAGATATTGTAAGCATAATGTGTTGTCTAATGGTAGACCCTGCTGCCATATGGCATCATGAAAATTGTGACCAAGTCCCAGGTTCAGCGCTGACCTGACTTTCTGCCTCATTTACACACAATTGCAGTTTGAATTGTTCCTCTAACTTTGACAACACAACATACATACAGTATATTATTTCTCACTTTTGATCTTTTTTTTACTTTTTGTATTTATTTATGGTTAGTTACTTTAAATAAGGCCAATTCACTTCAAGTAATGGCATCAAATGTTACCAGCTGGTGTAGTGTAAACACTAGTGACGTCACTTAAGCGTCTGTATTTAACTGTCGGTAGTTTCAAGAATTAATGCAGTCATTTACTGAATATTCCTTGTAAAAAAATAAATTTTAAATTAATTATTTATAGGAGATAAGTATTATTATCAGTAAATATACCGATATGCATTACTGACCACCTCCACGGCTAAAAATAGCCCAATCTCGCGGTCACTTTCCCTTTCTTGTCTCCTCACTGGCAAATGGGGGGGGCGTGGGGAGGGGTGTGTGATGATAGCTGTGTTTATTACAGGGGTATATTGTTCTTTTACGGTATGTTAGACAGGTTTATAATACATTTTTATTATTTTAATATACCGGTAATCTTAATTTGAATCCAGCTTGCCAAACGTAAGTTTCAGTATAAAATAATTAGTGGTAGGACCTTGTGAGTGGCTTACGATGTTTCCATCACCACTCTTGACACACTAAACCACAATATTTAAGAGGTAAGAATTTTATACCTGGTGATTAAGACGACCCCCTAACTTTGGGCAGATATTTTTAATGTTCAAATTCCGTCTTATAAGCCGAGATATACGGTATATAATTTTGTAACTTCTGTATAGTAAAACACTTAATCTTTTGTTTTGCATTTGTACAGGTACACTTACTGTACAGTAATAAGACAAATGTAATGATATCGTACATAAATAAAATCCGAGTCACTTAAATTTATTCATTCCTAACAATTAATTACAAATTTTATAATCACACCAAAATACAAACTCCAGCATTTTCCCATATTCAGGCTTCATACCTGCCAAAGGATAAACACGACTTTTCCATCATGTTTGAAAAAAAACCTCAATTGTACTGGAATACAGTAAAACTATTTTAGCACTACAGTAGAACGTCGATATAACACGTGATACGTCCCAAGAGAGGTCGCTTTAAACTGAATTCGCACTAAATCGAAGTGTTGTTTCAATGGAATAATTTAGTTTGGTACTTGAGAGAAACACAAAATACTAAAAAGACTGAGAGTCCCTTCTCCTAGAATAAACAAAACATTGTTTTTTGTAGTATTATGTTGAAACAAACACTCATAAATCAACACAGCTAAAATTATGGGATGTGAAATGGTCTGTTTACTAGCCATCAGCTGATGGGAAGATTGTGGGGGGGGCGGGGTGAGGTGATATGTTTGACAGTTGATGCCAAGGTCTAGTGCTTATATATTTATCTGTCCTTAAGGGTGCCTTTAAGTTTTCTCATATAAAATGTCACTGAATTGACATGTTTTAATTATACAATTGTCCTTTAGATTGAGTTTTGTTATAATGTCACAGAAGTGACCGGAGAATTTAATTTACACTGCTGGAATTCTTATAAGATAGTGAATAATTTGAATATAATCAGGCTATAGTTTGCACTAGACAAAAATTTTAGTACCCAGTAATCATTTAGTACATTATTTTGGGTACAAGTACAGTACAGATTTGCCCTTAGGACAGTGTAGCGTGCCCAGAGTAACATTAGGCGCGAATTTTAAAATATAATGCGCCAGATTGACTCACACAAATTAAGAAAGATTCGCTTTGAATTAAATCATTGTCCTTAATTGTGGGTGTCGCTTTAAATCAATAATCTTAAATTGAATCACTTTAAATCGACATTCTACTGTACTGCAATAGTCATTTGAAAATTGCACCTACTGTACTTGTTTTTCTTTCTTTTTTTTGGGGGGGGGGGGACATAATTCAGGCATTAAAGGATTAAATATGTTAGGACTGTAAAATATAATCAGGGATTAACCTTTTTGCCGGCCGCTTGTGCACTCCAAATCTCGCCTGTAGACCAGCCGATGATGCAAATTGTGTCATCAAAAATGCATTGATTTTTCTTTAATCTATTTTTTCATTTACCATTTATGAATAAAATTATGCAAATCTCTTCTTCTTTTTTATTGAGTTACAAAGTTAAACAATCTGACTAAGTGGTGAAAGAACAAAATAGTTGTACAAATGATATGGGATAGCTGAAAATGAGTGTGGAATGATAATATCTTATGTGCCAGTGTGGCTTATGGTCATGGGAGACATCACACTGCAAACGGTCTGCTTAGTAACGCAAATAGAGTCATCGGCCGATGAAAAGGCTAACATCCTCAGGACCGTATATAAGAGTACTTACCAAGGGGGTCCATCCTGCATTGTCTTTTGTATTTGGGTTTGCTCCTTCTCCCAGTAGATGAAGCACTCTCTCATTTTCTCCCTGTTGGCAAATAGTTTGGATTTTTTTTAGGATCTCTCTCTCTCTCTCTCTCTCTATAATAACAAATTCAGTGAGGTTGATGAGTCAGAAGACCGAGTCAATAACAGTTTCCCAATCCAGTATGTGTGTGTGTGTGTGTGTGTGTGTGTGTGTGTGTGTGTGTGTGTGTGTGTGTGTGTGTGTGCGTGTGTGTGTGTGTTTTTTACAGCCAAAAATTTGGGAAATTGTGGTCAGCTGTTATAGAAAAAAATCTTACATCATAAGACAATCCTTTTAAATATATATATATATATATATATATATATATATATATATATATAAATAGGGTATGCTAGTAACGAATCTTACTGTCCCAGAACCTCGCTCAAGTTATAGCATCTGTCATATAGGATTAATCCGTTCTAGGCCCCCAAATACAACCACTTAACACTGAAAAAATTCTGTGGAAAATGTAAAAAATACGGTACTTTATCTTACCTTAGTGTTATTCAGCATGCAGGTACCCCTAAACACTGGCACATCACTATCAACTTCCACTGGGAGTCTTGGCTTTAAGGTCCTCAAACAATTGTTTAGCCTTCTCACAAATTATAGCTTCACTAATGTTACCACCTGCCATTTCTTTCTCCTTTATCCACACTAAGAGTAAATTTTCCATCTCTTCAATCACATTACACTTTGCTTTGCTAAGTCTAAAGATTCCTTTAGCCACTTGCACAGTTTTTAACTCCTCTTTATTCTTCAAAATCGTACATATAGTCGATTTAGCCATCCCATATTCATCACTAAGTTTCGCAATGCTTCTTCCATTCTCACGTTTCTTTACAATTTCTTTCTAAGTTTCAAGGGTTATTAGCTTTCTCACTCGCTTTGGACGACTCATTGTTACAATTGTATACTTGTATAACAAAATAGTTATACAAATAACGCGAATTTCCACATCAAAAGACGAAATTTCAACAATAACAGTGGTGCACTGGCTACACAATGAGACAAAGATGGCGCCTGACGCTCTTGTTGTGGGTCGCTGTACAACAATATTCATGCGCCAGACGAAATAGTCCCGTATTCATCCGCGTTCGTTGTAGGAGTTGCGTTCGTTATAGCATTCTCAATTTTATAGGCAAAACCGTTCGTTATAGGAATATTCGTAGTAGGATCCGTTCGTTATAGCATACCCCACTGTATATATATATATATATATATATATATATATATATATATATATATATATATATATATATATATATATATATATATACATATATATATATATATATATATATGTATATATATGTTATATGTTATTATATATATATATATAAGTATATACATATATATATATATACATATATATATATATATACATATATATGATACATACACATACATACATACATATTATTATTATTATTATATATATATGAGCATATATACATGTATATATATATATATATATATATATATATATATATATATATATATATATATATATATATATATATATATATATATATATATATATATATATATAATATTCAGAAATTTCAGAGTAATTTCAAATGCCCCGCCATTAGCGATACTGAGCGTTCAAGGTCATCTGAGGGGAGAGAGCGCTGCCTGCTCATAGCGAGAGATTGCGGAACTAGGCCTATATGATATTAAATGTAATTTACCGAATTAATAATGATGCGATTCATGAAGTAAGGGACTATTATTGAATTTGAAATTATTATAGATTGTTTATCAGTCTGAATAATGTTACGGGTGTCCCAAGGAGTTATTAGTTAGGCGGAAAATATGTCACGTAGGCCTAAGCTAACGCCTTGAGAGGACGCGACGCTGGCTGGCCCTCAGTCGCGGGGAGGATTCATACAAAACAAGACGTCCCTGCGCGTCCGTCACAGAAATAGTCACGTGGCCTAGTCACCTGTGTTGCGCTATTGCCGTATAACAAGTAAGTCTCATGCGATCTCAGACAGGGTTAGATAGGGCAGTGGTAAAGTAAACTAGAGCTAACAGTGAGTTCATTTCAGGGTTTCCGTCAGAACCCACTTGACTGGAGTTGACTGGAGTTGACCGGAGTTGACTGAGTGAGATTGACTGCCGTTTGAGACTGCCGTTGATGATTGAGGGTGGCGATTGTCGCCATTGGACCGATCAGTGTAGGCCTGTCACTGTTTAGCGGGGTAGCAAAGGATCTCTTGAGTGAACGAGTGCTTCCGACAACTAAAACGACGGGACCAGCATCCACAGTGGGTGATCAGTTCTTACCACTCGGGTGCACAACACCACATGTCCCGAGCAGCTTAGTGAAACCCTCTTGCTAACGGGAAGCTAAAGTTTCTCTCAACTGTACAAGGTCTGATTGGCTCACTCCCTTCCGCTTTATCGACGCACTGGGAGTACACTGAGGCTATCTGAGTAAACTAATGGTCACACACTGAGACCGTGAGTCTAGGTCTCTAGGAGATACCTAGAGGAACATCTTCCCTCCCTTATTACAGGTGTAGTTAACACCATTCCTCAGACTGATATTATCTTGACGTGTGTAGCTTAATAGTCCTAAATAATTTTGATATTATTGTTTTTTAATGTTTGTGCCATTAAGTGGAACCAGAGTGATACTGTGATTTGATTCTTTTAATGCATCTAATTGTTCTTCATAATTCTGATCTCAGGTATAACCTTGTTCCCCAGAGTAGTGGTTAAGTTAGGTTAGGAAGTGTGCATCTGTTGGGGTGCTATTATTTTGTTGAAAGCCCTTAAGGCCTATTCATTGTAGAGTATTTAATTTCTTATTTTTTATTACCATTTCCTCAGTGACTGATATTATTTTGTTGAAAGCCCTTAAGGCCTATTCATTGTAGAATATTTAATTTCTTATTTTTTAATACCATTTCCTAAGTGACTGATATCATTTTGTGAAAGCCCTTAAGGCCTGTTTCATGTGTGCAAGCAACATTTCTTAATACTTCAAATTTATTGTTGCCTGTGTTTCTAATAATTTCTATATCATGTATAACTTTTATTCCCCAGAGTAGTGTGTTAAGTTTAAGTTAAGAGGGGCGCATATTGGTGTACTATTATTTGATTGTGTTTGTAGTGTTGGAGGGAATATAAGTGTCTAAATTTTACAGTGTGTCTCATTCATCCCAGTCACAGACGCTATCTTTCCACGGGTCACGGACAA